CTGCCTGGTGCGGTGCGTGCTGGTGTGGTGGTGGTGGGTAGGTGGTGGTCGGTGTAGCAACCCACTACTATTTCTGCTATCAATTACACCACCTCTGTTACTACAAGTATTAATAATAATAATAACAACAACAACAACAAAAATTATAATAATAATAAAAATAGATACTATTATTATATGGATAATAATAGATAACAGTTTCAATGATAATGATTATATAATAATAACTGCATGCTACGCAGTCAGTAGCACGACTATTACTACTAGTAATAATAATAGTAGTTCAGTGAATAAATAACTGCGTTATAATAATGATGATTACCAGCCTGCTGCTGAGCGCTGTAAGCGGGGAGGACTACAAGGACCGCACGGACCGGCTCGTGCTCACGCCATGGGTGAAGTTCCTGTGGGAGTCGTACCGGCAGTGCCTCGAGCTGCTGCGAAACAACTCTCGCGTCGAGCGGCTCTACCACGACACTCCGCGCAGCACGGCTTCCGCTTCTGCCAGAAAGTACAACCGCCAAGAACGTGAGTTCCGCCAAGCTGCTGCCGAGAAACGTAAGAGGGCGGGGAAGCGGCGGGGTCGGAAGGAGGTCTCGATTCGGAATGATTGATTATTGCTAATTGATTTTTTGTTTAAAATTTAATAAGATTATAAAAAAATTTTTTTAATTGTTGTTTTGATTATTTTGGATTAATTAATAAAACATTAAAAAATATAATTAAAGTTATGTCTGATGGATATTTGCACGCTATGCAGTTTGTTTAGCACGTTTCATATCTGTCTTTCTTAACTCGCCTCTAGGTTAATTAGATTTGAAAGTACAGCCTTTCTTTTAGCCAGTACTTGGTATTGGAAACGCTTTTAAGAAAAATGTAAACGTCTCTATAGGTCGTAGCTTACGTAACGCGCGCTGTTGTCGTAGCGAACGTGTGTCGTGGTGTAGCTTAGCTCTGTCGTGCGTCGTCGTCATTGCTAGCGTAACGCGTCGCGTGTGTTTGCAGCCTGCGCACCCACCTGAGTACATCCACAAGCCACCAGCCGATCTAGCAGACTGCCGATCAACTCTGAATAACCCGAGACACGGCAAGCAGAGCAGAGCCATTTGAACATGGAGACTCGCCTCGTCCAGCTAGACATCGCCCAATCAACATGGAGCTGTGGCAGGGTTGCAGGTGCGCTCATGTGTGTGGGTTCGGTGGTGTGCTGGCTGGTTGTTTGTGTTGTGTGTATGTGCTGGTGTTGGTGGTGAGGATGATTGTGTCGTCCGTGCATGCAGTGCGTGCTATGTATGCGTGCGTGCATGAGGTTGCATGCGTGGTTGTGCGGTGTGGGTGTGTGTGGGTGGGGTATGTTGTGCTGTGTGTGTGTCTCGTGCGTGGCGGTGCGTGCCATGTTGGCGGCGTTTGCTAGTGGTCTGGTGTTATTTTTTTTTTTTGGGTGGGATTTGTGGTGTGTATGTGATATTGTGGGCGTTGCGTGCGTGTTTGTTTGTGTGTGCTGTTCTGCTGAGTGTATGTGTGTGTGCTGCTGTGTGCTGAAACCCTGTGTGTGTGTGTGTGTGTGTTGTGATGTGCCGGTGTGTGTGTGTGCAATGCGTGCGGTGAGTGCGTTAGTGCGATGCATGTTTGTTTTGGTCGTGTTGTGTGTGGGGTACAGTCCAGCGCTTCGGCCACCACCACGCACCCTATCGCTCATGCACATATCGACCCTGATCGTCTGTTTGGCTTCAGGAAGCCTTCAAGGCCGTCGAGGACGTCCACGACCTGATGACACTGTCGAAGAAGCAGCCGAAGCCGCAGCTGATGGCCAACTACTACCAGAAGCTGGGCCTCGTCTTCTGGAAGGCTAGCAACCACCTGTTCCACGCGTGCACCTGGCACAAGCTATTCCATCTGTTCCGCGACCAGAAGAAGACACTTACTCAGGAGGAGCTGAAGAGGTGGGTGAGAGGGCAGGAGTGGTGGAGAGAGTAGGGGGGCAGGAGGAGGTGGTGAAGAGGTGGGTGAGAGGGCATGGAGGTAGTGGCACGAGAGTAGGGTGGGCAGAGAGAGGCGGTGAAGAGGTGGGTGAGAGGGCAGGAGTGGTGGAGAGAGTAGGGGGGCAGAGGAGGCGGTGAAAGAGATGAGTGAGGGGAAGGAGTGGTGGAGAGAGAGATAGAGGGGGGCAGGATGGACCGGCGTGTGAGAGCAGGAGTTGAGATGTAAGGGAGTGGCTGGAGAGAGAAAGTGGGGCAGCGAGAGCAGCGGTGAGAGAGAGTGGAAGTCGAGAGGGAAGAGTGGTGGAGAGGAGAAGGGGGGCGAGCGAGGAGTGGTTGAAGAGACGCTGGTCGCGTGAGAGGAATGGAATGGGTGGTGGGCAGAGAGTAGCGGCGCGGCAGAAGAGGGAGGCGGTGAACGGAGGTGCGGTGACGAGGGACAGGGTGGTGGAGAGAGTAGGGGGGCAGGAGGAGGTGGTGAAGAGATGAGTGAGAGGGAAGGAGTGGTGGAGAGAGTAGGGGGGCAGGAGGAGGCGGTGAAGAGATGAGTGAGAGGGAAGGAGTGGTGGAGAGAAGAGGAGAGAAGGTAGGGGAGGAGGATGAGGAGGGGGAGCAGGGGATAATAGGGGAGAGGGACCAGAAGAAGACACTCACCCAGGAGGAGCTAAAGAGGTGGGTGAGAGGGAAGGCTGGTGAAGAGAGTAGGGGGCAGGAGGAGGCAGGCGAGGTGAAGAGGTGTGGTGAGAGAGAAAGGAGTGGCGAAGAGGTAGAGAGGAGGATAAGGAGGCGGGGAGCAGGGGATAATAAGTGAGAGGGAACAGAGGAAGATGCTCACCCAAGAGGAGCTAAGAGGTGAATGAGAGGGAAGCAGTGGGGAAAAGAGCAAGGGGACGGAGCAGGAGGAGGAGGAAGCAGGGGACAATAGGGAGACGGCACGACCAGAAGAAGAGGAGGCATGCGAGGCGATTTATGGGATGTTACAAATTAGCTTAATCTTAGAATACATGTCGGGCATGACTTAAGCATTAGAGGCCTTGGGAGAATTCTGTTGTACAGATGTAGGGAGAGGCGGATGAGGCGAGGGTGACATGACCTGTGTGTGATTGCTTGTACGCAGGATGGCTAGCAGGGTGCTGACTGCACGGCTCGCGATCCCCATGCACCATGTCAGAAACCTTCGCTAAGACCTGTTGTATAGACGTGAGGGCGGCGGAGGAGGAAGAGGATGGAGATGAGCAGAGAGCGGTGGGGAGAGGTGATGTGTGTGCATTGCTTGTACATGCAGGATGGCTAGCAGGGCGCTGCTTGCCACGCTCGCGATCCCCATCCCGCCGTGTCAGAAACCTTGCGTAAGAACTGTTGTATAGGCATAGTCAGAGGAGGAGGATGGGGCAGAGGAGGGTGGAGGAGGGCGGAGACGTGCGACATCGCGCGTTGCTTGTACAGCAGGATGGCTTAGCAGGCTGCCTGCTTGGCCGGGCGGGCTCGCAGATCCCCATCCCGCCGTGTCAGAAACCTCGCGTAAGAACTGTTGATAGCAGGTTAGGGGGAGAGAGCGAGGAGAGGAGCGAGGATGAGGCAGCAGGAGGGTGGAGGCAGACTGTGACATGTGTGATTGCTTGTACGCAGGATGGCTAGCAGGGTGCTGCTTGCCACGCTCGCGATCCCCATCCCACCGTGTCAGAAACCTCGCGTAAGATCTGTTGTATAGAGGTAGGGGGAGGAGAGGGAGGAGGAGGAGGAGAGGGAGGAGGGAGGAGGGGGAGAAGGAGGAGAGGTAATGTGTGTGATTGCCCTATGTACGCAGAGATGGACTAAGCAGGATGCTGACTTGCCAACGCATCGCAGATCCCCATCCACCGTGTCAGAAAAACTCGCGTCAAGATACTTTGTATAGAGGCTGAGGGGGAGCGCAGAGGGAAGGCAGGAGGAGGAGAGGGAGGAGGGAGGGAGGGGGGAGAAGCGAGGAGAGGTGACCATGTGATGATTGCTTGTACCATTGCAGCGATGCCGCTAGAGGGTGCTGCCTCTGCCCCGCTCGCGATCCATCCCACCGGGTCAGAAACCTCGACTCAAGAACGTTGTATAGGCGTTAGCGGCGGAGGGTAGG